AACCAGGCGAAGGAAACAACACCAACACTTTCTCTCCCGGCATAATGGAGGGTAGTGTGCATATATATGTATATGTGTATATATATATAGTGCTGTCAAACGATTAATCGCGATTTATCGCATCCAAAATACAAGGTTTTTTTACATGATATATGTGTGTGTGTGTGTGTGCGGTGTATATTTATTATGTATAAATACACATGCATGTATATATATATTTAAGAAAAATGTTACGTTTATATATTAAATATATTTATATATGATATAATTTATATAAATATATACATGTAAATAGATGTAAATATTTTCAAAATATATGCTGTATGTGTGTGTCTTTATATATACATAATAAATATACACAGTACACACATATATTATGTAAACAAAAACTTTTATTTTGGATGCGATTAATCGTTTGACAGCACTATATATATATATATATATATATATGCACACTACCCTCCATAAGTATTGAAACAGTAAAGACAAAATTTCTTTGTTTGCTGTGGAGTCAAGACATTTGCAAATATGATTAAAAGATGAATATGAGACAAAACTACAGAATGTCACATTTTATTATTAGCTGTTTCAACACATACATGTTTTACCAAATAAAAAGGACAGCACTTTTAGGGTTCATCCCACTATTTGATGTGAGCATTAGTATTGGGACAGTTGAACTTAAGGCTGATGTAAAAGATTAAAAGGTATTATTTTGTTGCAGATCCCTTGCATGCAATCGGAGCAGCTATTATTTAGTTGCAGATCCCTTGCGTGCAATCAGAGCAGTGAGTCTGCGACCCACAGACATCACCAGACTCTTGGTCTTATCCTTTGAAATGCTTTTCCCAGCCTTTAATGCAGCCAATTCCAACTGTTGCTTGTTTTGGGGAGTTTCTGCCTTTAGTCTCCTCTTCAGCTGGTGAAATTCATGTTCAATGGGATTTAAATCTGGAGATTGATTTGAGCAATCTAAGACTTTCCCTTTCTTTGCCCTGATAAACTCCTTGACTGAACTGGCAGTGTGTTTTGGGTCATTGTCCTGATGCAATATGAAGCACGTCCCAATGAATCTGGTGGCATTTTCTTGAATATTGGTAGCCAAGATGGTTTTGTACCCTTCCAAATTCATTTTGGTACTATTATTTATCATACATTAAGTCATCATTACATTTTCTTTATTATTGATAGGTAGGATGGTTTTGTACCTACCCTTCTTCATTTTGGTACTATTATTTATCATACATTAAGTCATCATTAAAATTGAGAGGGCCTGTTCCAGAGACAGCCATGCATGCCCATGCCATGACACAATCTCCACCATGCTTTACAAATGAGGTTGTATGCTTAGGATCATTTGCAGTTCCACTTTTTCTCCACACTTTTGTTTTCCCATCACTAAGATGAAGGTTAATCTTTGTCTCATCTGTCCATAAAACTCTGTTCCAATACGGTGTGTTCATAGAGGTTTCCATGGGCCAATGCGAATAAATCTAGATTTAAATTCAGAAAGACACGATATTGTCGGACCTGACGTTTTATTCTTAAAAGTTTTATTTTATTCCAAAACAACTAGAAGTGATATGAGAGTGATACATACATACATACACTACCAGTCAAAAGTTTTTGAACAATAATATTTTTTAAATGTTTTTTAAAGAAGTCTTTTCTCACCAAACCTGCATTTATTTGATCCAAAATATTATTATTATTATTATTATTATCAAAATTTAAAACAGTTGAGTAAAATTTTTTCGGGATTCTTTGATGAATAGAAAGATCAAGAGATCAGTATTTATCTGAAATAAAAAGCTTTTGTAACATTATACACTATACAATTCTTCACCTTATTTGTTTCAGAGTAGCAACAGTTTATCTTTCCAGATTACGTAGCTCTGACAAAGCATCATTCAACATAATCACTTGCATTTTATGCATCTTATGCTCTTTATTCCTGTTTCATTTATGGTATTCATTTAGAAGTTGTTGATTACTCTTGTCTATCTTTTGTTAATAAAATCTATTTTATTACACTTGTGTCTTCCTTGTGTTGATGATTCAGAAAGAGGTTCTACAAGTTAGAGATCCCACCAATCTTTCTTATGTGATGTACTCATAACCACACCTTAAGTGACACCTGATCCAAATATCATAACGTCATTGGTGACACGAGAATCCATCACTACACTATTTCGCCTCCCTAGGTTGACGAAAGCAAAATTCACTACACCAGACAAAATTAATATTTTCTGACAGGCTGGATCTGATATTTCTGACATGGCGGCATGATTTTACAGTGTGCTTTTTTTTTTTAAATATACAATTGCAATGAATAGGTCCTTTTTATTGCCATTAAAGTGAAATAACTGAATATAAACATAGGAGCCTGATAAAAAAATGCTTATTTTAGAAGAAAATTTCAGACAGCACTTAAAGAGGCTTTTGCATAAATTTGATTTATGTCATCAGTTATTCACCCTCATCTCATTCCAAACTCGTAATACTTTCGTTCATCTTCTGAATAGTGAACACAAATTAAGATATTTGAATGAAATCTGTACAATTTCTGTCCCTTCATTGACAGTCCACACAACTACCACTTTGACACTCAAAAGTTCATGAAGTGATTGCAAAATTAATCCACATGAATTGAGTGATTTAGGCACAATTTTCTAAAGGGACTCAATCATTTTATGTGATTCGTAGATTTAATTTACTCTTTTATTCACAACTAAACATTCATCAGTGCACATATTAGTTATGTTAAATGATGTGTGTGAACCAGTGAGGTTCATTCTGCTGTTATGCAGCATGTTTCAGCTTTTGCAAGAACCAATGAGTTTTGATCTGTGCGACAACTACAATAATAATAATAGTGGGAAGCAATGCCCCCTGGGGGCGTTTTACCCCACCAGGTTTGAAAAAAAAAAAAATAATAATTGTCAGTCTGAAAATATAATTATACTTTTCTTAAATAACACATAGGCCTACTCCCTATCTACAGGCCTTACTATTCTCATATCATATAACTGATGTTCTACAAAACATCAAGCTTTAAATCAACATGTTTTCTCTACTGGTAAGATTAAAGTAGTAACCTCCTACTCCCCCACTTGTCCTCTTTTTCTTTAATTTATTGTGTAGAATGTGATGTGAAAACTATAATCCGAATGTTTGTTTGTAAAACTGTCAGTTATGAGTCTATGACTGGCTTTCTGTTGGTGTTCAACAAGTGAATTGGTAACACTTTACAATAATAATCCATTAGTTAATGTTAGTTCATGTAAAAAAAAAAAAAATAAATAAAAGTAGGCCTACATTTATTACAGTATTTATTAATCTTTGTTAATGTTAGTTAATGAAAATACAGTCATTCGCTATTAGTTCAATTCACAGTGCATATAATGTTAACGATGATTTTAATGCATTAGTAAATGTTGAAATTAACATTAACTAAGATTAATAAATGCTGTAGAAGTATTTCTTAGTTAAGTAGTTAACTAATATTAACTAATGAACCTTTCTGTAAGGTGTTAAAAAAAGCTTGGACGGACTCGAATGCCATCTTATGGTCAGACGCGGGAATTTATGCGGCGCGACCCTCACTGTACATTATGTGTATTCTCTAACCATCGGCTGTTCCTCTGTTTTACATTCGTTATCGCGGTGCATTTTGAGATTGAATGAGTAAAAGACTATACTTTAAGGGGATTTTGAAGGAGTGCACTCGATAACATCCATTATGGTTTCGGGCACCACAACTAACGCCGTGCGCCCACCATTGTGTCTCGCAGTGATGACGTCACATCACGCGCGTTCTTGCACTCATTCCAGCAAGTCTTCTGAGGTGAGCTGTTCGCATTTCTTTATATATTTACACAATCATGACAAAACGTTTTTATATGCGACATTTATAGCGGTCATCTTTGTCTTATTTTCATAGGATTCTGTGCGTCTTTTGTGGCGTTTGTTGACTCAGATTAAGGAACTGGGCGATGATTTTTTTTGTGTAACGTTATATTGGTTTGTTTCGATGTTTGAAAAGTACTCTTACATGGTATTCATGTCAAGTCACTGTATAAATGTGAAAGACCTTACTAAAACGAAGCTTAACGGTTTGGATTAATTTTTTATGTTTTTCTTCTAAGATTGTTAGAAATAGTAGTACTATTACAGTGCAGTTTTATCGTTATCAGAATATATCATGTGTGACTCCTATTATCTTAAATTATCAGGTTATTGATTAAACAATAATCTCTTTATTCCATGTCAAAAGCTCCCCTCATTAAATATCTTGTAATAATGCTCATTTCATTGATGGAGCAAACTACATGATCAACACTTTCGAGGTCTTAAAGATACGTTGTTAGAAATAGTAGTACTATTACAGTGCAGTTTTATCGTTATCAGAATATATCATGTGTGACTCATATTATCTTAAATTATCAGGTTATTGATTAAACAATAATCTCTTTATTCCATGTCAACAGCTCCCCCTCATTCACCTCATTAAATATCTTGTAATAATGCTCATTTCATTGGTGGAGCAAACTACATGATCAACACTTTCGAGGTCTTAAAGATACACCTCTCTTAACTTTAATTAATACACTTTAATGAACATTAATTTTGTGTAATTTTTTATTTGAAAAAACATGTTTCATATAAAACAGCAAATAAATAAATAATAACCAATTAACAAAAATATAGGTAGCTAAGTGAAAAGCTAAATGAAGTTAAAACAATTTCAGTTAGTTTATATTTTGATTGATGGGTAATTAAACATAACATATAATGTGTTACTCAATAATTGCTTTATTTTTGTATTTTTGCGGAACTTTTTCTATTCAACACAGGAATTCACCAATGCTGGATTGTTTTCATCATTTTACAAGTGAAGATTAGAAAACATAACATATAATGTGTTACTCAATAATTGCTTTATTTTTGTATTTTTGCGGAACTTTTTCTATTCAACACAGGAATTCACCAATGCTGGATTGTTTTCTTCATTTTACAAGTGAAGATTAGAGAACAATGAGAACATGAGTGATCCAGAACCCTGCAGAATAAATCACAAAGATACTGCAAAGCAAGGAGGTTGGTGTTTATTCTTGATTATTTATTAATGTTGCTGAATCACTCTCGCGATTGTTGATGTCAGACACATTGGCTTTTTTAATCTGGTGTGAGATTTACTTGAGCTGTGTGAGAAACGTATTTTATTGGACTGTCCTGCTTTTAATGCAGGTAGAAAATATTTTTATGAAGTAAGCTCACTTAAGGACTTGTGTGGAGAACTCTGCCTTTAGTAAACTCTGACAACGGATTAAACAACTTTGACTCCTGTGGCCTGTAGTACGAAGCAAGACGAATAAAAGAGTTGCGGAGTAAGTTTTTAGTTGACAAAACCCGAAAAAGCCAACCTGGTTTAGATCAGGATCAGCGGGCTCAAAAAGCTATATAAACATCCTCTGACAACTCAGAGTTTGAACCAGAGTTTGTAATGCAGGTAGAAAATATTTTTATGAAGTAAGCTTACTTAAGGACTTGTGTGGAGAACTCTGCCTTTAGTAAACTCTGACAACAGATTAAACAACTTTGACTCCTGTGGCCTGTAGTACGAAGCAAGACGAATAAACTCAGAGTTGCGGAGTAAGTTTTGAGTTGACAAAGCCCGATAAAGCCAACCTGGTTTAGATCAGGATCAGCGGGCTCAAAAAGCTATATAAACATTCTCTGACAACTCAGAGTTTGAACCAGAGTTTGTGATTAACTCTGGAGCGCATGCACCTGAAAGTGTGACATGTGCAGCAAACAGCCAATCACACGAAACATGGAGAGTGTCAGCAAAGCGGCAGTTGAATTCACTTCTCGCGAGAGTCTGCAATTCACTTTTCTTCTGAAGATTGAGAAGTCGTTATTAAAAATGTAATAAATGTAAATGCATTTACAAGGCAGGAATAAACAATTCTGCTGCAGCAAAAGTTTGAGAAGGCAGCAGAAAAAGCAGTGAAATCAAACTGGCAGCATCTGCGTTAAAAGCTATCTTATGGAAGCACTTTGGCTTCTATGAAGTTGAAGGGGGAAAGACCCTGGACAAGAGCCACACTATATGCAAGTTGTGTCAAGCCAAACTAAAATATTGTGGAAACGCAACAAATATGAGAAACCATATTACAGTAGTTGCTTAAGGCTGTATTAATTTGCTACAAGTATGCTGCTACAGGCACGTTTCATTTCCCATATTTTGCGCAGCTTGTCAGTGAACAACGGCTCTGGTTAGTAAATGCTGCTCCATGTGAAAGAGCGCAAACTTTGCAAAACACAAAATTTATGTCACTGCCAAAACTTTTGGCCACGACTGTACAGCATTGTTGTCATGGTGGTCAGAGTGAATTTTTGCGCTCTCGCCGCCGGCGGTGTGAACGCACGGTAATGGTATCTATTTTTTTGTAGTTGTAAACCCTACCTGTGAACACTGTAATCTGTGAACTCTCACTATGACCCTACATAGGACGAGAAATCTGGAAATGGATGGATGTCAGATTAAGAAAAATGCTTAAATATATTAGAAAAAATTTATAAAATTGCTAAAGGCAATTATTATAAGACAATCTCTTATAAACATGCATCAAAGTAATCACTTTATAGCAATTGTAGTCTTTCTAATATTACATCACGGTTTACTTTTATGTCTTTCCCTTCACATTTCTCTTATTTTTATGCTTTACTAATAATTAATTGTAACAAACAAACCAGTCAGACACACAATTATTTGTTATATTTAGAGTCCACGTAAAGCAATATTAATGTGTGTTCTGAGTTTGTCACACCAAAGAAAAATGTGTTAACCACCCTGCCAAATTTGAATGGTAAAAAAACGGCAAACTAATAAAATAAGGTATCAAAATCTTGGAAAAAATAAGCAATATTCTCTGCTCTCAAATGCTGGGGGCGTGTCCACTGGCGGGGCTGAAACCACACCCACTCGCGGAAAAGCTGCCATCTCTTTCAACTGTCTTCCTCTAGCAGCTTAATTTAAATAATGAGACCGAGCTGTTTTGTGAATTATCGCAACCAGGTATTATTCATTTACATGACGATGGCATAGTTAGCTAGCAAACTGTAGGCTGTACTAACTAAAGGTAATGACAGTAACTCGCGATTGAGCGGGCTAACCACTGATGCTAATGCGCACTAGTTATTAGATGTGTTCGACTTGATCGATCAGTGTATGACATCAAAGTACTGCAAGAGCAATTTGAAAGCGGAGCCATCTGCTCTTTACAGCACTCGCTGTACTTGATGTCACACACCGATTGGTCTATGGCCGCGCAGCGCTGCTTCAAGTTGAACACACCTCTTATAGTGTTAGAGGAGGGGCCATGCTCAGTGACTCCACTTCGTCATCAAGTCATGATTTTGGCCCTGCCCAAAAAATCCTAAACACGAAAATGGTGAAAAACTGTTTAACGGTCCAACTGCACAATTAAGTACTACATAGTTCACAGTCTTTGTAATATGTTTCAGCAATGCATTTCTAACATTTATAATGTGGTTAAAAACAATTCTCAGAATTGACTTTACACAGACTTTAACAAATAATCTTTCAAACCCCTTTCCCAACAAACTGTGTGTAAGGTTGTAAGTAGTGATCCCCACCTACAGCTAACTCCCAGGCAGGAACGATTTACAACCAGGAATGCAGAGCTTTTGCTCTAAACTCACTTTTAATCAGTCCATAGGACAGACACATAAAGGCCGTGACATAAAGGACTTCTCTCCATTGTCTGTTGTATTGTATACTGTTTTATGATAGTACTACTCAGCGTTACCCTGCGTTTATTGTGTCTCCTATTGAATAAATGCTCATTTAATGACTCACACTTTGGTGTACATCACCTCCTCCTCATAGAATGCAGCATGTGTTTGTTATATTAATCAGAGTATAAATAGACACAGACTACCAGAACCATTCTAACCATGCTTGCAGACAAAGGGCCATGAAACCTCCCAACAGAAGAATTTTCCAGCTTTCTTTTAAAATTACAACTTTCTCATTGATCAAGCCAACCGTGAGAGGTGTGACTTTTCCCAGACTTTATAGAGCATCCACACAAGTTCTCCGCTCATGGCAGTCTCTTCACCTTTGTCTATGGATTGCAGGCCAGCAGGCCCCAACTTACATCCATGTGCTCACTCTGTAAAGAGGACCCTCTCAACCACAAAGAGAGTCAAGTGTTTCTAATATTTCAGGCACTGATTAACAATGCTCTCCTGGATCAAATAAACCACTGGAAATATGTGGACGACATGACATGGCCCAGAGGTGGACTTCTCATCAGCCCTGTACTCTCCAGCAGATGTTGAAAGATCTTGGCATCTGGGAAGAGAAACATCAAATGAAACTCAACTCAAAATAATGCAATGTCTTACATGTTTCCCACATGAAACAGATACTTGGCCATCACTTTCTACAGATGAGAACACATAAAAAATATGTGTCCCTGTTAAAGTTTTAGGGCTTACCATCCAGAATGATTTGAATTGGGATTGTCAAGTGTTGTCCACAGCCAACAGAAAGCTCTCCGCCAGCTAAAAAAATTTGGTGTTCGAGATCAAGAATTGGTTATCATCTATACAGGGGATATGCGGCCTGTGTTAGAGTATGCATTTCCTGTTTGGCACAGTTTGTTGACAACTGATCAAGTTAAAAGGTTGGAAAGTGTTAATGTGGAGTAAATTGGTATTGGCATTTTATTGTAACAGCAAAATAATTCAGTGTTCCTTAATGATGAATGTCCTTGGGTACCTGTAATGATGCTGAAAAAGTAAACAAGTTAATAAATAAATAAAAAATGTCCCTGTCCAAAATGACACACTTGATATACACTTATGGTCTTGTGGACTTACAATGGTTGCCGCATGTGTGATTCCATCAAGTCCACAAGACTGTAGGCTGTCCCATTTGTTTTTTAGAAGGGTGCTCACGAGCGCCCCCTTTGCAGTCGATATGTGCCCTCAATGCACACTTTTCCTGAGTCCGCACTGGTGTGAGCTTCGCAGCAGACTTCTTTTCGACAAACAACACCGCGTTATTTCATGAAAGTGAAAAGGTGCGGACTCGTAGGAAGACCACGAGTGTATATGGTGCTATTTGGTACAGGGCCAATGACACAGCAACTTCAAGTAATTGCAGTTTCAGCCCATTTAATGGTACTATCAAGACCTTTTTCAGAGACTCCATGAGACTGCTTCAACTGCAAAGGCAGTGCAAGTATCGTACAGTTTGCTAACTAGGTTAGTGTAAGCTGTGGACCCCTTGATTAACAAGGTGAATTAGAAACTGATGTATCGTTTAAACCGTTAACTTGATTTAATTTCCCCTGCTTCTATATGGTTCTGTTCATCCACCTTAACTTCCCGTGTGTGTGTGTGTTTGTGTAGACTAGTTCTGTGTTCGTGATTTAGTACATAAAACTTTGTGTACAATACATTTCAATTCTCTGGTTCTAATTCTGATCCAAATATTATAATTACCACAAGTTATGATTATTAATATTTGCCCTTTGAGCTAATTCGCTACTAACCCTTTCTTACTTTCATTTTAGACCTAATGGAAGAGAGTGAGGAGAGTGAAGAACTGAGTGAGGCAGAGGAGAAACAGCATCATGTCAAAACTAGTGAGAAATCTTTGAGTTGCTCACAGACTAAAAGTAATTTATTGAAAGGAAGAGCCAAAAAGCCTTTCACCTGCCATCAGTGTGGGAAGAGTTACACAGTAAAAGGAACCCTGGCAATACACATGAGAATCCACACTGGAGAAAATCTGCACACATGTGATCAATGCGGAAAGAGTTTTCCGATAAAATCATACCTTAAGGATCACATGAGAATCCACACTGGAGAGAAGCCGTATTCATGTGATCAGTGCGGGAAGAGTTTTACAATGAAAGGAACCCTTAAGGATCACATGAGAGTTCACACTGGAGAGAAGCTGTACTCATGTGATCAGTGCGGGAAGAGTTTTGCATACAGACACAGTCTTAAAAGTCACACGAGAGCTCATAGTGGAGAGAAGCCGTACACATGTGATCAATGTGGGAATAGTTTCACAAGTAAAAGATCTCTTAATGAACACATGACAATCCACACTGGAGTGAAACCACACACATGTGATCAATGTGGGACGAGTTTCAGACAAAAAGCAGCCCTTAGGGAACACATGACCATCCACACTGGAGTGAAGCCGTTCGCATGTGATCAATGTGGAAAGAGTTTCAGAAAGTCATGCACTCTTAAAATACACCTGCGTCGTCATTCTGGAGAAAGACCATTTACCTGTGATCAGTGCGGTAAAACATTTTTTAGGTCAGATGCGCTGAAGGACCACCTAAAAGTTCATACAAAGGAGAAGCCTTACTTGTGTTCTTTGTGTGGAAAGAGTTTTAGTCAGTCGGGTACTTTAAAATTACATCAGAAAAGACACAACAGTGTGAAGGAGCATATGTGTTTTGATTGTGGGAAAACTTTTGTTAGAGATGCTGAACTGAAACTGCACCAGAGCACTCACACTGGAGAAAAACCTTTCAAGTGTTCTCACTGTGACAAGAGGTTCAGATGGTCAGATTATCTGAAAAAACATGAGAGGATCCACAGTGGAGAAAAACCTTTCAAGTGTTCACACTGTGACAAGAGATTCAAATGGTCAGAATATCTGAAAAAACATGAGAGGATCCACACTGGAGAGAAACCGTATCACTGCAGTCAATGTGGGAAGAGTTTCACTCTGTCATCATCTTTACTCAGTCATACAAAAAACAAATGTCTGAAATCATGAACTCCTATCTGAATTATTCTTTGGATCCAGCACATTTAATCGTGACCGTGTCCTCATCAAACATGACCCAATAAAACAAGCAATAAAGTCGATCTCTTCTATATAAATCTGCTCTAACCAGCAACAAGCAGCGACAGAACAACAAAACATCATCTGGGGGTTGTTTCATAAAAGACGCTAAGAAAAGCGAGGATTAAAGTCCAAAACCTGACTTGAAACAACCTATCAAATCAATCGGGACTAAAGCGGTTTCATAAAGGACCATTTAGGTTCACACAATCTCACTAATTTGATCCACGTTCAATAATTTGATGTTCACGCTTATTCTTAAGCAGCCCTTAATGTCCATCATTGATCAATTGATCCACCATGGCAAACAGCGAATATATTTGTGCTGTTTAATGCATTTGAGACGTGTTTTCCACAGTGCATAATGGACATGTCACAGTTATATTCTTCATCTGTAAATGTTAGAAAGTCATGCAAATATATCCATTTTGCTGTCAGGAGTGGGTGAGGCTTGCACGAGTGAACGAGCGCTGCTGCGCACATGTGCACTAAATAGACAGACCGTAATCGAATAATAGCGCAATAATTTTGAGTAAAATATATATTTTGTTAAAATATTTGTTGTTGGACATTTAATGTGACAAATGTAGAATTTTAGTCCTACATATAAGTGTATTTTTATGATAGCAGTAACCAGGGGTGTGGACTCAAGTCACATGACTCGAGGCTTGACTCGGACTCGAGTCCCAAATTTGATGACTTGCAACTCGACTTGACATAATTAAAGAAGACTTGAGACTCGACTTAGACTTTCACAGCAATGACTCAAAATTTGACTTGGACTTGAGCCCTGTGACTCGGAAAGACTTTATGATTTTACATATTTTAATTGCATGTGCTTTTTATTTTATTTAAACCTCCATTAAGTTAACAGTTAATCCATAATAATCGAGATTTAAATCTAAGTTTAAAGTTATGGAGCAACAGGATTAATCTTAAATGGGCTATAATTTAAATTCAGGATCAAAATGATGGGTTAAAATGTAAACAAGCTAATTTTTAAAGGTTTAAAGTTTGGTGCAACAGAATTATTAGATAAACCTTGATTCAATCTAGATTTAAAATTAATCATTGCAAAACCATTTAGCTATAATTTGAAGAGAAAAAAAAGCACATTATGCCTAATGTCTGAAGTGGGCAAGCGGCAATAGGCCTAGTGATTAGGGCTGCACGATATATTGCATGCAATTGTCATGCGCATCTCGTCAGTAAAGCCGGTTCCGTGATTAGTCGTAAATCTCCATCACCTGCTTTCAAATGGAGCGGCATTTAATACACAGAGCCGTAGTTCACTGACAAGCTAATAATACTTGATAAGAAAATTGCGTAGCTTGTCAGTGAACTACGGCTACACCGTTGGTCGGCCCCCTAGAGTCGGCGGCCATGGCTCCTCCCTCCATCATCTCCTCCCTGGACTCTGTCTGCCGGCCCCCTCCCGGGCGTCCATCCTCCTCCGGAACCTCCCCCTTAGTTCCCACCCATTCCCCCCTCTGTTGTTCTACGGTGCGAGGACGCACCTACCGGGAGGGGGGAGTAATGTCACGCCCCTGAACGGTTTGTTGTGCTCTGTGACCCAGTTTCTTCCCCATGTGTTCCTCTTCCCTGTTAATTAGTCATTCCATGCACCTGTGTTCCCCTGATTGCCCTGTGTTTATCAGCCCCAGTCTGTGCTATCTGTGTTTGTCGGAGATTATACGTCTACCCTGGTGTTTCCTGTGCTCCTGTCTGCCCCATGTATTCCCTTGAAGGTTGGATTAAAATACTATTGTTTCGTGTATCCCTGGTCTCCTCGTTCCTCACTCCTCGCCTTAAGGGAAGTGTGACATCATGAGTTTGTCTGCATCCATAGTGCATGTTTCCTCTCACTTGTAAAGTATGTTAGCAGTTATTTCTTCTAGTTCTTTCAAAGCAGTTCTTTCTGCGTTTCCGCTCACATGTTTTTAAATCTGTTTCATTGAGGTTCCAAATAATGGCTCATTGGGTTAGATATAACACCTAGAAACATATTCTTATGCACACATGCAAAGTATGTTGCAGCTGTAGTTCTATGAAATTCTGTTGTCTTAGCTACTCTGTTACTAATAAAAGTAGTTTTTTCACTGCTTGTCCTATTTTGGCACAATTCCTAAATTGAACTCGAGTAGTTTTACTAAAAGCACCCAACTCGCATGATATTGAACTATGTCAAACATATTCTTCCTGCCTTCCTGATATAAATTACTATAAATTTGATATGGTAATTAATTCTGAGACACTAAATTGGGTAAAGAGCACAAATGACTTTAAGACTTGAAGCTAAAGTTGAGGACTTGCAACTTGACTTGGACTTGCCCGTCTTGACTCGGGACTTGACTCGAGAATTGAATGCAAAGACTCCAGACTTACTTGTGACTTGCAAAACAAGACTTGGTCACACCTCTGACAGTAACTGTAAATTAAATGTAAGCTGGCTAATACAGCCCTAATTACTCAAATGAGTAAATGTATATTCCTCTTATCAGTTAAAATGTAGTCTGATTTCTATTATTTTCATTTTTAATTCAGTGATTTTAACTTTTAATTTAGTGTTTTTAAAGGGGTCATATGATGCGATTTAAATTTTTCCTTTCTCTTTGGAGTGTTACAAGCTCTTGGTGCATAAAGAAGATCTGTAAAGTTGCAAAGACTAAAGTCTCAAATCCAAAGAGATATT